TTATGAGGCTAGCTCAGGATTAATGAGCTAGTCGTGCCTTATTGGGTTGATTTTTGTGCCTAAGTGGCCAAAACTCTCTCTCCCCGATCTTGGTAGCAAAATATGAAATTTGGCCCCGTTTTGAGCTAAGGGGGTACCAAGCCTCTTGGTATCAAGACACCAAGAGGGTACCAAGCTGGCAAGGCAGAATTGGTACCAATATATGAAATTTGGCTAAGTATGGAGCCAAGGGGGTACCAAGTTGGCAAGGGAGGCCTTGTACCAAAATATGAAATTTGACTAATTATGGAGCCAAGACATGAAATTTGGCTAAATATAGAGACGAGAGGGGATACCAAGAAGTTAAGTGGTACCAAGATGTGAAATTTGGCTAAGTATGGAGCCAAGAGGGTTCCAAGTCGGCAAGACAGGCTTGGTATCAAGACATGAAATTTGGCTAAGTATGGAGCAAAGAGGGTACCAAGCCGACAAGGCAGGCTTGTTACCATACCAAGACATGAAATTTGTCTTAAGTATGGAGCCGAGAGGGTATCAAGCCGACAATGCAGGCTTGGTATCAAGACACCAAGAGGTATCAAGCTGGCAAGGCAGACTTGGCACCAAAATATTCAATTTGACTAAGTTGCATACCAAGCCAGCAAGCCAGACAATAGGGTACCAAGCCGAGTACCAACTAAGAAAGTCATACAGATTCTAAGCCTGGATATCAAGCTGACAAGACAGACTTGATATCAAGTTACCAAATATCCCAAAAACTAAGTATAAAGATCAAACTGTCAGTGTGCCAACCCAATGAGAAGGTGACAAGGTGGCTAGTTGAGGTGGCCATCCGACTGGTTACCAAACCATGATGGACCGTCACTATATTATCAAGACCAAGTATGAAATCTTGGGGATAGAGGGCTAGTCGGCCAAGATAGCGAGTTAAAAGGGTGTCAATTTGATACGAACTTGGTGTAGAACCCTTAGGTCCATATGAAGACCAAGTTGCCAAGACGGGCTTGATGGCCCCCTAACAGGGTACCAAGCCAGTAGAGTGCCAAGGTATCAACTTTATAAGATTCTAAAAACTAAGTATGAACACCAAGCTATCAGGGCTTGCTTTGGTAGCAAGGGGTATCAAGACAGAGAGACGACAAGGCATCAAGCTAGGGCTATCAAGGAGTCGTGGTGGTAAGAAGCAACGTGATGGAAGCAAGGCAAGAAGGCCTCAATCCCATCTATTTAGGACAAGGCGACAAGCCACAACACCAAAACGACCCAACGTCAAGGCCATCTAGTACCAACTAGTCAACAAGGTGGGATAAGGCCCCCTCCCCCTCCTAAGGTGATGGAAGTCAACACCAAAGCGACAGTTACCCATTAATTGGTCACCAAGGCGACGACAATATGTCCCAAAGGTGGTTGAAGCAAAAGACTCGTTAGCGGTTACTAATGCAGTTACACCCGGTAGCTATAAATAGAAGAAATGAAGACGGGGAAAAAGGTTCCACAACCAAACATTTGACACCACATTTCAAACTTTATAATTTCTCTGCATTGTAGCCATAGCTGTATCTTTTTGTTTTTGGAGCTCTCATGAAACATCCATTTGAGTAGAGTAATTTAACTTAACTTTTCCTGAAAGTCATAAAAAAAAAAACATCAAACACCCTTGTTCGAACTTTGTTTGAAGAGGTGCGAACTGTGTATTAATCATTGTTCAAAAAATCAAAGGTGCATTGATTGAAATCAAACACTAAAATTTCATCTCCAATCACTAATTTCATAGTCTCATATTTCCTTCCTCTCTCAATTCCCAGTCCCCTTCTCCCCCCAATTCTGCCTACTTTCTTCTCAAATCTCTCCCCCCAAATTCCATTCCTTGGTCAATATCACCTACAACTATGATGGAGCTGGTGACCATGATTTCCTCATCACAAAAGTTGGCCAATATGAGTTTTGTGGGTCTCGGTCTTTGCAGTGCAAACTTAACTTTGAGAAGTGAGAGGCCTAGGCACCCTTGGATTAGATAACATCCCACTAGCCTTCTTAATATGTGCTACGTTACAAACAAACCCCATAGACAGTAAATCCTAATAGCATAGGGATTTTCAAAGGTTCTCATTGGAGCAGTAAAAGAAATTCATCGTCTTGGATAAGAACTTGTCTGCCCCCCATGTGAGCATCATGAATACCTTAATTCGAAGTCTTGTTGGAATGCAACCAAAAACCCTTTGCGTCAATGGTCAAACTGCAAGAGAAGAGATCCACTTTTGAGTTATTATATTATAGTTTTCCTCCATCACTTTGTTTTCTTTAATGCGGCTGTTTTTGTGGGCATAATAACGTAGAAGAAGGTGGGGAATTGTTATACACGATATATATGCAGAGTATGGGTTAGCCAACAGAACAGCTCAATACCACATGGATTCTTGGAAATGGTAAGTAGATTAGTATTAACTAGTTTTTAATGATAATGAATCCAATTGCTGATCTGGGGTCACCCTTTACTAATTCTGGGAAATGTTACTAATTAAGAGTGGCATTTGTCCAGACTCTTTCAATGCGGATCGAGAAATTGGAGAATTCGGCAAAGCAAGAAAATGAAAACCACAACATACGATTTACGTGGTTCACTAACACGATGTGTGTTAGCTACGTCCTCATAGTCAGATAGTTTAATTCAAGTCACATCAACAATATTCTTTTGTCATCTTAATTTTACTTGATGCTATCGAATTCAAATTTCCACAATTTACTATTTGAAAGAAAATATTTTGGTGGATATTAGTAGGATTGTAAGTCTGAATCGCCTAATCTCATATATTTATAAAAATCAAAATAGTATCATGCAGGGGCGGAGACACAGTGTAAGTAGGGTATTCCATGGCACACCCTTGGGTTGGGGCTAGAACATAAAAAAATAGGGGTATTAGTTTATGTTATTGCTAGGATTTGGACATGAAACCCCCTTACTATTAGTTTTTTGACATCTTCCACTAAACCACAATTACTTATGTGATACACTAATACGTTTTATTGCATATATATAATTTAACGTTTATAAATAATAAGTAAATTAAATTTAAAAACCTCATAATTACATGCTTATTCAAGCAGTATTCGAAACTTTAGCCCTAACAAGCAAGCTTCTCCCCGTCCCATCCTTGACCCTTCATCTTCCTTCTTTCCTCTTTCTCTTTGGCACCCCCTTACCCAAAATCCTGGCTACGCCACTGGTATTATGCATATATGTCGAGGTCCGTTGTTATATAGAAAAAGTTCAGGTGTATGTCTTTTCCTATAATAAAATAGACTACCTAGAATACAATTTCATTCTAACCAAAAAAATCACTCGGAAGTCTTTTCCCAACTCATAAAATGGACTTCTAAAATACAATTTCACTCTATCCATCATTGAAACTCGACATTTTTAGATTGTACAATTACGCAATCTCTACTATTGAATGTACACTGTGATTAATTATGCTTTTAACATCTACATATATTGTATGTAATATCTGAGATCTTGAAACTCACATATCTCTACTCATTAGGGCTGACTATTTGGTCCGGCTTTTTTGGTTTACTCAAACCGGACCGTATAACCCGGATCGGGACCGGATCGAAATCGAATAGCAAACAATCTAATCTCATCTTCAGGCTTAGATTTGAGGTAAAAAACCGTTTGGGACCGGATCGAAAATCGGAGAAAATCGGATAAGAGAGCCCAACATTCAAAACTTAACCAACTCCTCACCTTTTGAGGTCTCAAGCCACTCAAATTTTCACAAGTTTAATATAAAATCAAGACCGATTTGGGACCGGACCGGGTCAAGACCGTACCGGATGAAGATCGGACTGTATCCAATCCAATCTTTGGTTCTTATATTCCCAAAAAGACCGAACCGGGACTGGATAAATCCAAGCCAATTTAACCGGACCGGACCGGATAGCCACCCCTACTACCCATTATCATGCTAGTAGGCTTGTCTGAGATGTTATAAACTATAAGCGCCTAGAGTAAGATTCTATTCCTAAAAATAGATGGGGATCTAGGATGGGAGAAAAGTAGGAAAAAATTATGGGGAGCACCCTCCCAATCGAAGTGCTTTCAGTGGGACTCATATGGTCAAGGGGGAAAAAAGGGACTTATATATATTTAGTGTTCTCAGTTGCTCACATAATTGAGAGGCTGTTATGGGAATAATTTTTTTTTTTTAAAGGACTAGACTAATACTGCATCGTGATCATGCCCCAAACCGGCAGGAATTAAGGGTCAATATGGCCTTATCTTGTTTGTCAAGGGATCGTTTCCATTTTCCAGGTTAATACCCCAACTATTTGTTTCTGTCTCTAGTTAGACATTTAGAGCTTTGGCAATTTAAGTGACTCATTGGTTGTAGGTTTGTTAAACTGAATGAGTTAGAGTGGGGTTTTGGATGAGCAATCTTCAGAAATGGATTCTCATTTCAAGTGACGGATTTCAGAATACTTTTACATCATTGGGAGAGTTCGGAATCCATCGTGATCAGAAATTTGACCGTTTTATTAATAAGTTTTTGATTTTGTACTATTTGATTTTGTATAATCCTTATCGAGAGCACCGTTTCTTATTCAACCATGCTCTAAATGTTAAGGTCAAGTCCTATACATACTACATAGTACATACTAATGAAAACCTGACTTATTACTTAAACAATAATCAGAGGGTTAAGGTCAATAATGTCAGGCGGATTTAACTTTTTGACAGCAACTTTACCCCGTGACCACACTTTATTTAAAAAGTCTTTCTTAATCCTAACCCTAATCCTGGACTAGATCACATGACGAATCAAAAGTAACATGAAAATGTCTACCAAACACAAAACACTTGTTAAAAAAAAACTGGACTAAAAAAAAAGTAGCATATTCCCCAGATGAATACAGACATCTCCATGTGAAATCAGGAATTCTTTACTATACATGGGAAGGAGGAAGAAACAGCTTCTTAGGAAATATGAAAAATGTCAGTTAATGAAGAAGAAGACTACTACTACTACTACCTTGCTCCACTATATAAAAAGGGCTTAGTGTAGCAATCATGCTTAAACATGTTTCTACCAACAAAACCACACAAACACCACAATGGACCCAAGAATCTCCTTCTCCAATGACTTTGCAGACAGCACACAACAGCACAAACCCATGTACGAGAGCAACTACAGAGAAGCCCCTGTGTCTTCGGATTTCGAATTCTCGGTCAAAGACTTCGCCTTGATACCGGCTGATGAGATCTTCTTCAAGGGTGTGATTGTGCCATTGAAGGAGGAGGATCATCAGCAAGGGAGGAGGATGATGACATTGAGGGAAGAGTTGATGGTTGATGTTGATCACCACCATGGCCAGTTGCCAAGGGTGCCTAAGGTTTCCTCAGGTTGGTGGAAGGAGAAGTTGGGGTTGAAGAGAGGTGGCCACAACACTAACAATGTTGTTGTTGGTGTGGTGGGTAAAAGAGGTGAAAGGAATGGTGATGGGATTTTGGAGAGGATTGAAGAGAAGAGGGCTTCTTCTTTTGTTCATGGAGAGAGGCTAAGTTTAGGTCAGGACCACAACTCCAAACATAATTAACCCTTATTATGACCTAAATTTCGTTTAAGTTCTATGTCCCTGATGATTGTTGTTTATGTACTTTTTTGGCTGCAGGGAGTGCTAACTGAAGGTGAGGTGGTGAAGTTTGTTTCAGAGAGATTATGAGGGATGATTTGAGGTGCAAATATGAGTGATTTGGGGGAAAAGGGCAGAAAAGAATTATCATCAAGTCTCTTAACTCATGAGAAATTGACAAGGCAAAAAGTTGGAATTTTGGTTCTAATTTTGACAATTCTCTTCTTCTTCTTCTTCTTCTTCTTCTTCTTCTTCTTCTTCTTCTTCTTCTTCTTCTTCTTCTTCTTCTTCTTTTGTAACATTGTTATGTGCCTTTGTTCCTTAGATGAAGCTATGTTATGTACAAAAAAAAAAGGTTGATCAGTAAAATTGGGGGGTGAATTTGGTAGTCCTGTTGTTTCTTTGATCCATCTGACCATTTGGTGTCTTAGATTTGGTTTACACATGGAATATGGATGCCATCTTGCCTGTTCCAGTCATAACCTGGCCTTGGAATAATCTTATAATTGATATTATGAAGTGAAGTGAGTGGCCAACAAAACCCTAATACATTATTTCCCCCCTTGTTAGCTCTTTTATTTCCTTAGATACTAACTATAGAATCAATAAACCAAATATTGCTTGCTTGTGTGGCACTCAAAGGAAAATTTCCAACTTTCTCGAAAGGGTTAAACAAATTCACAAATTCAACTCTGATAAACTCCAGTGTTCAGTATGTACAAGTGGACAGAAGCTTGCAGTTCGGACGATGATCCTCGAGAATCAAATGTATACCTTCGAATTGTATTGTTTTCTCGTCACGAGGAGGAGAACATCCTTGAATAGAAGAAAGAAGCCTACCCCTTTCTTCCCCTTTCCCAAGTGCTCGAACACCAAGTTCAGTCAAAGTATCTGTAGTCTCTTTCATGTCTTGAAATGCACTCACCACCACATGAATAACATAAACCAAGCAAACAATGTGCTTGGTTGACTGTGTAATTGGTGTAAGCTCATGGAACCTTGGCCCTTGTTATGCTTGATGAACTTTCTGGGTAAAAACAAAAATCCAGTCAAACTTCTACTTGAAGTAAAAAAAGAGAAGGAACCCAATTTTCCCTTTAGTTTCAGTCTCATTCTCAGAATATGCCCATATTTCACACTGTTACCAATCAAACACACAGCTTAATGAGCTTCCCTACAGCTTTATGTACAATAAACAGACACATCTTTCCCATTTACATTGTGATTCCTAAAGAATCAAGGCTCGGTTCCTACACTGTGACAACCAAGTATTCAAAATAATTACATTCAATGGTTAACTGGATATAAAGGTAACAAGCGCGAATTTATCTACCAAAAGGATGTACAAGAGTTGCTATGTTGCCGCCAAAAGAATGTGCAGCTGGTTGATGGTTTATCTACAAACTGTACACCTGAAACCGGGCCGCAAGACACATCTTAGTGAGTTATCATTTGGCCTTCAATCGGTGTTGCGTGTCTGAGTTGATCCTAGATATTTCTCCATTGATTCTTTCTCTGCAGTAAACCTCATCAGTGAGTTAATTACTCAGAGACTTTCAACAAACAGATTTTCCAAGTGTGGCCGTGTGGGTGCTGAGCTCTCACCTATTTCTAAGGCCGAGAAGAGCACACTGTGCAGCACTTGCACAAGCAGAGACTGGAGCCATATTGGTATTTTTTTTTTCAACGGCGTCCGAACTAATGCAGAAGCCGATTTTCCCCAGGCCATCACTTAGGCTTGCATATGCCTGTCAATAACATTAGGAAGATCAGAACCTTTGTAGCTGTAACAAGGATAGCCTTCTTCTGTATTGAACTGGAGAAACTCTTACTACTAAAACCCTCACCTGTTGCTTTCCTTCCTGGGCACCTTTTGGCTGATTGCTTGTTACGTTTGATTTCTTTTTTACCCTGTGTACGTGGTGGAATTGAATACGACGATGATACTTGATGAGTAAGGAACAGACGTCAGGATGTACTCGGCTTGGAGTAAGATATCATGGGCTCCTGCTGCCAAATGCACTCCAAGCCCAACTGTTGAGCAATATGTTTGTATGGGCTTCGGCCCACCTTCCCTAGCCACGAGTGTATTGTTGAGAGTGGCCTAGGGTTAGCCGAGTAGTCTAGGGTGTATTTTTTTTTTTTACAAAAGATATATATATTGATCATAAACAGAAGATATACATCCTGGAATTCAGCCAGGCCTGGAAAAAAAAAACGTAGCCGGGTACAAAGAAAGGGCCTTTCTAACCACCAAATGGGCTACCCTATTACTACGCAGACCTACAAATCGAATACTCAATCCAGGATATAAGGAAAACAGTTGCACTGCCTCATGAAGAACAACTCCTATCCTGCTATCCTCAACCCCCGCTTGCCGAACATTATCTATAATAACCTTCGCATCCCCTTCAAAGCAAACTACACCGAACCCCTGTGACACACACCAATGCATTGCCTCCCGAAGCGCAAGGACCTCTACAACTACAGGGTCATCAATAACCGGGAACTAGACCTCTTTAGACATAAGAACCCCATCACCTGAACTTATCACGACCATGCCACCCGTAGAATGGGAGCCTGCCCTCGTCGCCCCATCCCACTGAAAAACAACCCCAGAATCCTCATGGGGGTACGGTAGGTGCTGCGATACAGCAGCAACCACACGAGGAGAAGGATCCACTAGCAGGCGCGCCCATTCATCACATTGTTGATGAAGCTATCACATCAGAGCCAAGAACCCAAACTTCTTCCCCTCAAAGACAACCCAATCACGGGACTTCCAAATCCGCCAGAGGGTAGCTATAACGGCCATGAACAAAGAAGGTTGATGAATAAGGAACATTAGTCGCTTCAAAAAAAGGGGGAAGGCATGCCTTGGCAACCCCTCACCCAGGTACTCCAACCCGGAATAATCCCAAACAGCTCGAGCCACTGGGCAATAAAGAAACAAATATTCCAAAGATTCCAGCTCACCCCAACAACCTGACAAGGAGGAGGGATAGCCCTTATGGCCCGATAGGTAGCAGGATCAAACCAGTGGCTCAGGCTATCGACACACCATCGCCCCCCCCCCCCCCCCTGGCAAATGACCTCCGCCACCCGAAGGTCCCGACCTTCTGGAAAAACCCGAGGGTTATAAGTAGGGGGATCTGGATGCAGTCTAGGTATCCGGTTGGACTGAAGGAGAGGACCAGTCTGACCGTTACCAATTTGCCAACGCAACCCAGCTGTAAGAAGCTGGCGCCCATAGAGGATTCTCGTCCAACCCCACGAGGGGCGAGAACGAGCCTTAGCTTCAAAGAAAGTCCCCTGCGGAAAATATTTCCCCTTATACACCTGTGCTAAGAGGGATTGGGGTTCCATTAGAATGCGCCATCCAATTTTAGCAAGAAGATCCTGATTGAACTGCTCAAAGCGACTAAACCCCAGTCCACCCTCATGCTTGCTACGACATAAATTCCGCCATGACATCCAATGGATCTTAGTATGACCCTCAGACACACCCCACCAAATGCGGGCCACATGCTTATCCAGTAGGCGATAGAGGGATAGGGGAAGCTTGAAGTTTGACACAACATGTAACGGCAACGCCATCGCCACTGTCTTGATCAATGTTTCCTTTGCCGCCCAGGAGAGCGTTCTCTGCTTCCACCTCTGCAATCGTTCCAACAATTTTTCTTCCAAGTACCGGAAAGTTGCCATCTTAGATCGGGCAATTAGCGTAGGCAAACCCAGGTACTTATCATGGACCCCCACCGCCCCTACTCCTAGAATCTGGGCGAAGAATTCTTGGTCTGGAATCGCAATATTTTGCTAAAGCACATAGCCGATTTAGCCAGGTTCACCCGTTTCCCACTTAACTCCTCATACTCGTTCAAGACCACAATCAGATTCTTACACTCCTGGAGAGAGCCACGCAGGAACAAATACGAATCATTCGCAAAAAACATATGAGAAATCCGAGGAGCACGAGGAGCAACTTTAACACCTTCTAGCCTTTTCTTCGTAATGGCCTTACGAAGTAGCGCCACAAAGCCCTCTGTACAAATAACAAACAAGAGAGGGGAGGGCGGGTCACCCTGCCTTAGCCCTCTGGATGGAACAAAGAAACCTGTCGGGGTGCCATTCATAAGGACCGAGAACGAAGATGATCTTAGGCACTCCTGAATGCATCCTCGCCACGTAGAATTAAAACCCATCTTGTCCGAAACTGCCAGTAGAAATGACCATTCAACTCTGTCATAGGCCTTTTCCATGCCAACCTTCAGAGCCATGAACCCTTTCTTACCGCAGTTTTTGATTTTCAAGTAATGCATCAATTCATTACCCAGGAGGATATTTTCCACAATTTGCCTCTCACAAATAAAGGCATTTTGACCATCCGAGATAATCACTGGTAAAATGAAAGCAAGCCGAACAGCCATTATCTTTGATATAATTTTGTACACAAACTGGCAGAGACTGATGGGGCGCAACTGCTTCATTGTTTCCACATTCTCCACTTTCGGGATCAAAGTCAGCCACGTATGATTAAAGCTTGTAAGCATCTTACTCGTTTCAAAGAATGAGCAGACAACTTCAATCACCGAGCAGCCAACAATATCCCAGAAAGCCTTAAAGAATTTTCCAGTGAAGCCATCAGATCCCGGTGCCTGTTTCGACTCCATCGAAAAGATCGTGCGCCGCACTTCGTCTGGAGAGACTTCAGCCGTTAAGCGGTCATTCATCTCCGGAGTCACTAAGCGGTCAATGGGAAGCGCAGCCACCCTTTCGACCATATTTGGCACCTGGTTCTCAGAGGTGAACAAATGCTGGTAAAAAGTGCTAGCAATGTCAGCTTTACCAGTCTCCTTAGTGCCCCAATCACTAGTATCATTACGGAGGTCGTGCACAAAATTCTTTTTCCGGCGGGTTCGCGTGACTGTGTGGAAGTACGAGGTATTTTTATTCCCTCTTTTCAGCCATCGGATCCGGGACTTTTGCTGCCAATACAATTCCTCCGCCTCCCATTGTCTATTCAGTGCCTTCTCGAGGATTCGAACTTCATCCCAGTTAATCGGATGAATAGATTTAATACGCTCAATTTCAGCTTGGAGAGTTCGAATGTTGCATAGGGAACCATGGCTTTAACCTCTGAATTATCAGCCCACCGAGCATCAAACCTAAATAGGGGG